ATTTTTTTATTTTTTTATTAATAAAGAATTATATGTTAATGGTCAAAGTTGTGCCTCGACAAGTGCGAAATATTGACCGTTGCACTTATTTAAGAACGGAGGAAGAATAAAATGATACTCGCTCCGTCGCACCGGACTTTGCCAACTTTCTTTTTTTGCTTGTCCCAAAAAAGTTAGCGACTTTCCTTCTAAAGCAATGAATTTGTGACTCTGCTCATTTCTCTTATCTCTACTCTTTGGCACAAACCTCAACATACAATTTTTACTATTATAATTTCCCCCCAACGGCCCAACATCAACTTGACAAAGTTGACTGAGATGAAGATAATAATATTTTTGATTTCACAAAGCTATAAGTAATATTTGTGTCCTTATTCTTAAAATATATTGACAATATATAATACTATTATTAATCATGTATTTATTATTGACAATAACAAAAATAAAATAATGACAACTGATAATGCGGAATAAACAAATGGGAGCCAAAACATGTACGAAAGAAACTAAACAAAAATAACAGCAACCCATAAGGCTGTCCGCAATGGGAGCTGTCAATACACCAAATTTAAGGTTTTGACTCCTTAATATGCTGCAACCCTTGGAAAAAAAAGTATACCAAGGTCTCAACGGGAGTTGCTGGAGCGGAGGGGAGCCATCTATAGGAGGGCTATTGCCTCTTCTACGGAAGTGGCATCTGCGGTAGTGGGCCTGCAGCTGACATGTGCAAAGAGGAAATGAAAGGTGGAGGATTGTGCGTGAGTTTCTGCTACTCCTCTTGCGTGTGGAAATGAAGTGTTGTGTTGGGATTTTATTTTATTGATTATTGATTGTTGATATTTTAATTTTAAAACATGTGTTCCAATTGATTTAAATTTAATATTAAACAAGTTTATAGTAAATAAAATGAAAAATTAATAATAATGAAATATAGAAAACAATTAATATTTTCAAATTGAACTCAAGTACACATTTTAATACTTACAAAAAAAATCACATTTTTTATTTTTTTACATCGGAATGTTTGAGTTTTTAAACAATAATTATTGGTGAAAATAAAATTAACACATACAATATGTGTAGTAAAATAACTAAGGATTTATGCATTTAATTATTAAAAAAAATGTGCTGAGTGGATATATTGACGGTGCTGGGTTGCAGAGAAAAACTGAATTGACTGAGTGAATACGTATAAACTGGAGGAGAATTTAGTTTATTGACGGGCTGGGTTGCGGTTAGCCTAAGACAATAAAGCAGCAACTCATAATAATATTGTAACAATAGAATGAAAACAAAAGAAAATTAAAAAAGTAAGAAAGTCAAGAGGAAAAGTCGTTGGTAGCAAACTAGCAAGCGTGTTGGAGATCGAGATTCAGCTTGTTTGGATGAAACAGCCATTTGAAACAGTTATTTACTAAACACTTAATTTAGCTGATTGATCAATAATTTAGATAATCTATATATAGTTAGTCAAACAAGCTAAAATTGCCTAATAAACCATTTATCAAACCAAGGACATAAGATAATCATCATCCTTCCTCTAATTATTGAGGGATGTGTTTTCACTTTACATACGAAACATTGTGCGGTTCGGTAGAAACCGTAGTACGTACCCGGTGCGTAAGGCTTAATTAAATAATTACAGTATTATTCATTTCATACCGTTTTTGCGTTCCTAATTAATTTCTTCTGTCCAGGACAATCATATTATATACCGTATTTGCTGAAGCCCACCGGCCACCGCATTTTTGTACTACAAGAGAAATGGAGACAATATATATACGACAATATATAGCTTAATGAGATACATATTCCAGTAATTAAGAAAGTGAAATTGAAGGAATTAAGAGACAACAATGTCGTATATCCGCCCCCAAATCATGAGAATGGAAACTCAAGTGGTAGACACCACGCCTCCTCAACAAAAGCCTTTAGGTATATATATGCGCTCAATTAAGTTCAATGCAATTAAACTCATTTTGTGAAGTTATAGATTATTGGGTATTAGCTTCTTTATTAATTACCTTATTCGTCCTTTATTTTTGTCACATATCATATTTAATACTCCTTTCGTCCCGTTAAGATTGTCTCATTTTGTCCTTTCGATCCGTCAAACTAGGATGATCATATATCAAATTTGACAAATTTTGTGTGACTTTAAATCATTTTATTTTATTCTTACTATATCAATTCATTATCAACCACATAAACCACTATTTATTAGTTCGCATGACACTCTCGTCTCAATGTTAGTGGGATGGAGGGAGTAATAATTAACTTCTTTTACGTAATTTATTCATACCTTATTGTACTTTACTAATTCAATACTACCTCCGGTTTTTTTTAATCTTCACAGTTTGACTTCACACAAAATAAGGAAAGAAATTTGACTTTACTGTAGAGTACACTGTTGAGACACTGTTTGACACTGTTTGGCACTGTAGAGACACTGTTTGGCACTGTTGAGACACTGTTTGACACTGTTTTGGTGTAGATTTCTTTGCCAAAAAAGGAAATAAGGAAGTGTGAAGTTTATTTTAGACCGTCCCAAAAAGGAAAGTGTGAAGTTTATTAAAAACAGGAGGGAGTATTAATCATATAAGTTGATTTTTGTAATTAAGGAACATTTAAACTTCTTTTTGTTTTCTTATATATTTATACTCCACTCTGTATGTAAGTTTTTAGTCTTGACTGAAATTGAAGGTTATCCCGCCGCTGCTAGCCCCCTGGCCGGCTTGGAGAAGATGAAGGATTGGTATTTGGTACTATATGCCAAAAAAAAGTGATACAAAGAATTGGTGTGTAATAATTTGGGAAGACTTGTGCTGCGACTGCTTTTATGATGATGGAAGTGATACTGATGCGGAGTAGTCACTAGCTAGTTCCATCTCACACTCTTCACTTTTTTTTTTTTTTTTTGTGTTTCTACTTCCCTAATTATGTATTGATGTATGTATACAACTAAACATACATGTAGTGTACATGTATTGATGTACGTTTGTATTCCGTCACTATGTATGGTCTACGTTACTACGTAGTATTATGCTACTACATTTGTCTCACAATGGTTATCATGTTTCAATTTAGCACAATTGCTAAAAAAATTATTGAAAAGTAAAAATTATGGTTGAAATTTGAGTAAAATAAAGTGAAATGATTAGGACCACATATTTTTTTTTTCAAAAAAGAAAATATGACATTCATTTTGGTTAACCCAAAAAGGAGAGTAGACTACCAAAATGGGACGAAAAGTGTACTATATACACTAGAGTAACCTAATTACCTACATATATATTCTCATGATCTATCACTATTGTTCCGCCACGACTAATTAAGAATATTAATTTCACTCACGCCATGCATCTACAACATCAAATCGAATGGCTATTGCCTAATTATGGAGTGTTTGGGTCCGCATTTTAAAATTGTCTTTTCCTTTAAAGAGTAGAAGTAGATATTGGATGTTTTGGGTGAAATTACTGAAATACTTATAAGTTTTCTCAATTGCTTCTCAAAATAGTTTTAAGAAATTAAGAGAGAACAACTTAACCTTAGAAAAACGAATTCTTGATTTTACTTTCATTTTTTGACAAGTAGAATTAATTTCAAACACCCTCTATTACTAATGGTGATGGTATTACTGTGATTTTACTTGTACCACTCTAATTACCAACACTCACAAATGTGCGTATGCATATTAGGGGGATTTAAAAAAATCAAAATATTAATAATGTTGCATTTCAAAACAGTGAAATTGCCCTAAATAAGATTAAATAAGGGGAAAATTTTACAAATAGGACTTAATCATACTAATTTTCCCAAATTAGGATTACATCTTAGCATAAGACTTAATTGCACTTGCTTTGACCATTATGCCCTTACTTTTAAATTCCATTACCAGACCGCAACTCAATTGAATCGGATTTCCTTTCAAACCGCCACGTCTCACCGTCTAACAGAAAAAACTGCAGAAAGCTTAAATGGAAAAGATTGCGGGTAAGTGACTACGAAGAATCAGCTTCCAAATCGATCTGCTCCATCTGGTTCTTCCCTTGGTGGCGACAGCGAAGAGTCCATAAGCAGCCTACCAAATAGTTCGGCCATCAACCACAGCAAATGGAGTCTCATTTCTTCACGGACTTGACGGAAAGTATCCACAAGCTTCGACGAGTAGATCTGTTGAGCAGCCTGACTCTTCCACCTTAGTCCATCCACACAGGTAGGCTACGTCTGAACATGGTCTAATCTGAAAAGCTGATGTTCCTCCTCTTTTTCCGTGATAGGTTTGAGTTGACATTAGGATTTGCGATCAAAGATGATAATTCTATCATATCAATCAACAAAGTTCGTGAGTTTCTCAGACAGAACACTCCTCTATCTTCGCGGTATTGCAGGCCGGAACTTGGAACCAGGAATTTGGAGATTCAAATGCAACTGAAAATTAAAATGCAAACGTAGACATTAATTAGTCCTTAATGACACATGCGTAGACATTAAACTCCTACAACTAAAGTAAGTATAAAAGCTAAAACAAAAGTATAAAGCAAATATGAAATTTAATAGATTCAATTGATGAAATAATGCTTAAATATATCTATGAAGCTAAGAAAAATACACATCACGTTATATGAATATAAAGTTGTTAAAGGTAGAAAATGTAGTTTTATTTTAGAGTTATTCAAAAAATTCTTTTGAAATATGACTATGTGCATTGTCTTTTTTTAAACATTAAATTAGTATAACTAAAGTAAAGTACAAGAATTAGTATAACATTATAATACATACCCCATTGAATATGAACATGGAGTTCTTAAAGGTGGAGAACTAAAAAAACGTGGGACACCAATTGTTACAGATCCATATTAAGTCGGAGATTTTAGTGACACATGACGAGACATAGTTAATGTACTAAGTGGGAAGAAGTGGGTTGCTAAGTGCAATTTGGTTTAGACAGTGTATATAAACAAGCGAGATAGTCATTAAATACATAGTAAGAAGACATTAATTTTAAATATGTCTGCTACTTAAATATATATGACAACCAAAAGTGTATCAACTGAAACACTAAAAGTCATGTCAAATTGTCAATTAACATAAATTTCAATGCCACCAAATCATGGCAGTTACAAATGTTATTCTAGGAAATAAAAAACTAAATCCATAAAATGTTATCAAACTAAGAACTACGGATCAGGATAGGATTCCTGCAAGACTTCTTATTGTGTCGACATTTCTTACAACGTAATTAAACAACGTTGTCGGTAACCAAATTCTCCAGTTGAACTTCAACAAATAACCACGAATAGGAGGATCTTGTGGTAGACCTGACTACCTAGTGAACTTTCATGGAAAACGAGTAGTAGATCCTCTAAATTTTGCTCTAATATTGCCTAAAATGTGTTGGGCAACGTAGCCATGTTCAGCGTGTGGAGATCCTGTTCTTGCTACATGAATAATTCCATCATGTCGATCCGAGACGAAAACCAAAATATCTCCATGAGCAAGAGTCTTCTTTAGCTTGTTCAGCGTCCCACCATAATCTCTATTCATGTCAACACTATATTATTAGAATTTTAATAATATCGGAACTTTATAAGTTCTGCAATAATTTCAGATGTGGATTGTTGATGATGTGATTATCTATAATCAATTGAATAGGAATAGTTAGAATGTAACCTGAAAAGAAGAACACAAAATATCATACTCCCTCCGTCTCTTAAAACTTTGCCAATTTCCCTTTTTTGGATATCCCACTAATTTTGCTACTTTTCCTTTTAAGTAAAGAATTTGTGGTTCCAGTTAATTCTCTCTCCTCTGCACAAACCTCAACCACATAGTTTTTACTTTATTAATCCCCGTGCTGGTCAAACTTGGCAATGTTTTAAAGGACAGAGGTAGTATAAGTATAGACACTAAATAGTCCTTAAACAAGTACAACAGACATTAAAATAAAATAAAAGAAAGTATATAAAATTTAGAATTAACACAACACGCCACTTGTAAAATCAAAACTTGTACCTTCTAATCTGCAACATATGACTTTCTGAAAGCATCATTCCACAAACAGCCTAGATGCATTCATCATCAACACAAAAAACATGGAACTATACGATTATGATGGAAGTTAGAAAGAACTTCGAAATCAGGAACAACAAACAAAAAATTGAAATGAGAGTCTGAATCAAAATTGAGAGCCTTACTTGAAGAACACAATGCTAAAAAGTGTTCATATGAATCATTAAGTTGTCTTTTGAATCTTCACTGAAAGAGGAATGTGTGTCTTCTAAGTTCATCAAGTCATTTTTTTTTGTGCACACTAATGTGACAAGAGTGGAACTTTTTTTTCCCGGTTCAAACCCACTTGTGGTGGTCGTGGCGCCGGGGAACACCACCCGATTTTATTAGATAAAAGTTTAAAGTACAAGGGAAAAAAAGCATTCAGAAAATTTAGATTACATCAACAATTGAAATTAAAATGAGGAATTTCAAGAATGCAGAAAAGGACCGATTGAACTTGTTATGAAACTTGATAGCATGTTGCAGATAGGGTGGGTAGGTTTTCGCATGTGGGCGTGAATTTTTGAATTTCTTGAGAGCTGCCGCTAGATTGAGGGGAGTCAAATCTTTCATCAACAGGGTAGATAAAGTAGTCCATCTCATTTTGCGGTTTCTTGTTTAGCTAAATTCTAAATTACAGGATATATCAATACACATCATCAGTTCCCTATCCATCTGCCTAATAGAATTCATGCACAAACATACAAAAGTATCCATTTCCAGACCACTGATCACAAATTCACACGAAACTGATATTTTCAAATGTTCGTACTTTCATGCTCGAACATTTTTATCGTACGTTTTTTCATAAGTTTAATTTCCAGGGCGCATAAAATCAAACCTTAACTAATTAACCAACTTAAAATTAATAAGATAAAGGAAGAAGGGTGCAAAAATGAAAATCAAGAGGAAGAAACAAACCAATTAAAATCCTTCAAGAAACTGATTTGAATGAATTAGTGGCTTTTTGTGTGAACCGATGACGTATGTGCGTGAAAACATTTTTTTAGGAAAATGATTAACATATCTTCTCATCAATTACGTCAATATTATTTGAAGCAGAACTTCATCGTAACCTTTGTCTGCATGAATTTAAAATGGCTAAATCTAAAGCCACTAACAGAGACTCGAACAAAAATAAGACTTTGATAACAAATGCCCAAAAATATTCAAAATTCCAAATCACATTCGATGCAAAAGGGGGAGTAAGTTTCTTAATTCTCACAGGAAAACTTGATTCCCTGTTCAATAGAGTAATCTCAGGCTTCAGTTTCTCCAATCCTTCTTTCTTGAAGTCAGACAGGGAACCCAACCCTAAGACTTCTTCCACACCATTTTTTCCAAGTCTCACCTTGAATGCAATGAAAGGAAGCTCAGTTATGGTTGACTGTGCAAAGGAACATTCAATAACATCAGGAACTCCATTCAATTCTTTGAAGCAAGCATTTGCAAAGATGGCCCCGACATATGCCATCGAGAGTGTGGCTGAACCCTTCCAAACCTTAGCTTCAATAACTTCCGACCTCCCTGTTGTATTCTTTTTCTAAGTGCAACAATTACATCATCAGATAAGTTGGTTTTGGTGTAGCTTGAGAAAACATACATATTGACTCAACGAATTAAGAACCGAGATTGAAAACTTACAGATCCGAATGGCACGAGGTGAGAGAAAGGATGCAATGCGGAAGGGGATTTCATAGCCGAATGACTTTCCATTGAGACGTCACTGCACGATGGATTCCATTAAGATGGAGAATGGAAGAAGAAGAAGAAGAAGAAGAAGAAGAAGAAGAAGAAGAAGAAGAAGAAGAAGAAGAAGAAGACATGATCGTTGTGGAAGAGATTGATCGTTTGGGGGTAAAAAGGGAAACTAAAAATTAAGTTTCCTGAAATAGAACTAAATAAAGCTTACGGATGAAAAAAACGTAACCGAGTCCTAATCTTGTAAACTTTGTATGATTTAGTCTTACTAACAGTTCTCAAAATAGAACTGGTATGTTTTTTCTTCCCGAAATATAAGTCGTTACTATCATGATTAAAAAATACAGAAATTAATGATAGTGAATATTGTCATGTTGAATTTCTTGTACTGCAATTATTTGATAGTAATGACTAAAAAATGACAGTAAATATAACATGTTACTTCTATTTTGAGAAAGGAAACACAATAATCATATTTTGAAATTTCAAAACTTATACTCCTATTTTGAAAAATCTCTCTTCAAAACAAGAGCACCGATACTTTTCTCAGACAAAATACGAGTAAATTATTATCTTGGTGGAAAAATCTCTCTTCAAAATAAGAGCACCGATACTTTTCTCAGACAAAATACGAGAATATTATTATCTTGGTGGTAATCATCTATAGCAGTTTTATTGTCATAACTCACCACATTTTCCAAGCAAGCAGTATTTTTCCAACCATATTTTCATCATAATTAATGGTGCAACCGTGAGTTCTTTTCTTATTCCAATTGGGTTTTATTTAGTTTCTTATTATCCAAGCTTACTCAAGACAAAGGTATATGTATATATTACAAAAGTATATGTATATATGGAATATGGCATATGGCTCAGACGAGTGAATTGAATACCACAAATGAGTTCTCACCAAGCCAACATAGGGATCCAAAAAGAAAAGAAAAGAATGAGGAACAAGTGAACCAATATGAATGGGGCAAACATGAATACGTAGTATTCTCTTACATTGGCATAGCTGCACAAGTAAAGAGGAACATAAAATTTTACAAGGCAGATGCAACAGCCATTGCCAATACCACCTGTGTGAGAGGACCGAAGCTCATCATAACCTTGTGAGAAGAGGACGGAGGTGAAGAAGCAAGAGGCGATGATGAATCGCTTTCCTGAGAACCTGGAGCATCAGCAGCAAGCGTAGGGCGAGAAGAAGCATCCGGTGCTGGTGCTGGTGCTGGGGTTGGGGGTATGTTCGTCCCAAAGATGGATTTGGAAAGAAGAACTTTGTCAACCTCATAAATCGCAACAGGACGAGTAGCAAGCACTGAACTGCTGATTTTGGTTGTCGTCCATCCAGATTTGAGGTACACCGTACCAGATACATCAGAGACATTCAGAGCATCACCAGAAAATGTATTGAGTAGCGTGAGGTTACTGAAGTCAGCAAGAGTGTAATATTTGGCCACTCCATGGAAAAGCATGAGATATTTCAGCTTGTCAGTGGTCAGGTTAGAGAGGGATGGTTTCTTTTGGTTGTTGAAAGCTTCGTTTTTGGGGACAAAGAGAGTGATTCCTTGATCACTGTTGTTGGCTTGGTTTTGGAACGTTTGTATGACTTTTGTGGACTGGGCGTAGTTAAGGAATGTGGCGTATGGGCCGGCATGAGTGAGCAAATCAGTAAGGTTCACAAGCTTTGGGGCTGCTGGAGCCGGTGCAGGAGACACAGAGATTCTACTTTGGGCGTTTATTGATGATGAGAAGAAGATCAGCAGGCTAGCAATAGCAAACATTACAACATTGTTTTCCATCTCTCTCTCTTTTCCCCTCTGTGTTCTGACAGGATGAACAGCAAACTAGAATGCCTGCATTTGCAGGATCCTAATCAATATCTCAATAAAAAAAACAGATAAATGGTCTTCTTGTTTACCTCAGGTATATAGAATTTACACAGAGGATGCTATGAAAATTTGAACGGAAGGATAGCAATAACTTTATAATGTGACAACCTTCATTTACTTCTGAGGATTACTACTACATCATAGTAGTATATGAAATGGGGGTAATAAAGTAAGCAGAACTTTTATGTATTACCCAAAATAGATATTGCTTACAGGTATGCAATACCTGATTACTTATATTGACGAATGTGAAAAAAATTGGCCAATACTCCAATATTCTTACATTTCGTGAAGTATCTTTGCATTCAATATCCTATTCAAAGTTGAGCAGCTTACCATCATAGGGGGTGTTTGGAACTGATTCTGCTTCTACTTCTTTTTTAAAACAGAAGCAGAATCAGAATAAGTTTTAGAAGCTAGTCTCCCCCAGCTTCTAAAAAAACTGATTCTAGGAGTAAATTAGAGCACCAGAATCACTTCTGCAATTTCACTCAAACACACCAACTTCTGCTTCTGCTCCCTGAAGGAGTAGAAGCAGTTTTAAAAATCAGATCCAAACAACCTCATATTTAGGGACATAGGGAGTAGAAAGGGTCAAAGAGAGTAGAAGTTAATTATTACAGAGTATCTACTATGCAACGCTAGTTTTTATCAAAATGGAGGTTGAAAATGTTATTCTATACATTAAATCAATTTTACATGTCTTTCACCCCGAGATTCCAATCCAACAAAGAACACAGTGATGTTTTCAATGCTCCATATTTAGTATAGGATCATATCTTAGTGCACTAAGCATTCACCCTTCTCACCAAAGTAATAAGCCTAATGCCTAATAAATCCAGTAGGATTCATTTTGGTAAGGCTTAAAATGGCTAAAATGAAATTACTGAAGAGTCTGAAGACCTGAAGCGTGGCTTGATTGAACAAATTGTGAAAAAAATACATTCCAAATACTACATCCACCCTAAAACTAGGTCCGAATTTGTGAGCAAGGTTAACCTACAATAATTTAACTCTCCGCTAATAACAGATTAGTGTTAATTCAAATCTATGTACCCAAAAATTACACTATAAGTTGAGTTGAAGCCGAAAGACCAACTGATATACGATAAAAGTTTGATACCAAAATCAGAGAATAAATAGGACATACTTCGTATGTTAATTTATGATTAATGAAGTTGCATCTCATTTAGGGACATGGGACTATTTTGATGATAAAATAAAGAAGAAAGTATAGAAATGTATGATGATTCTTTTCGGAAACTTCTGCCAACAAATACAAGAAACCCTGATTTCTTTTACTTTTGGACAAATTTAACAAGCGGATAAAAAATACTACGTAGTGTTTAGTTAAAAAAAATATATAAGCCCAAACCACATGCTAACATAACTGCAATAAAAACCTATTTACTTCCCTCCGACCTATAAAATTGTTCTCGGTTTGACTTGGATCGGAGTTTAAGAAAATGTGAATAAAGTGAAAACGTATAATTATGTTTGAATAAGAAATAGGTAAATAAATGTTAGCCAGACAAAACTATCCAAAAAGAGAAATGAGATTTTTTTGGAAGAACCCAAAATGATAAATGGGAAGTATTTTATGGAACAGAAGGAGTATATTTTAGGAAAGGGGTAAAACACATTTAGGGTCTTTTGAAAAAAATTCTTATCTGGTCTAATTTGACCATTTTAACCTGTTGAAGTCGGATCTAATTTATTAAAGTCTGATTTATCCTGAATTTCATCTCATCATATCTGGTAAGATAATAAAATCAATTCAAGCGAAAAAGTCCATACCTGTATTTCTTACTACCCAGTACCCATACCTTCAGATCTCAGCATTTGGGCATTATTTAATTCCACAAGAACCAAATAATAGAAGGAAAAGATCAAAAATTACGCTGTATGACAACTACAAAAACTATAAATTCAGTTTAACTTTCAGCTGCTTGTTTAGTGAAAGAATAATATTAACAAAAAAAAATCTGACTTTCGTTGAAGTCGAAATCTTTAGCCTACCAACGTTGTAGATCTTAGGGATTTCAGCATAAATTTCAAGAAAAAAACACAGAAGCAAGAAGAAAAAATCCAGAATTCAAAGGAAAACAATTCAAAATCTAAACTGCAATGCAAGAATATCTGCAGTTGAAATAAGCCAATGTGTATGTAATTAGAGAAGGAAGCTAACCTTAGGAGATCGAAGAGAGAGCCTTGGAAGTGCGAGTCCAAGGAAGGCAGACGAAGAGTATTTATCTATTTTGTTGGAAGAGGAAGAAAAGCCATCACTGTTACACTGAAAGTCCAGCGACTTTGGGGTTGTTTGGCAATCGGCTGTTAGCTTTAGCTGTTAGCTGGTTATGTCAGTTATTTGATCACAGCTGGTTGTGTTGGCTGTTTTGATTGGCTGGTTATATTAGCTTGTTGTTAATAAATGTTTGGTAAAACTAGCTGTTATAAAACAGCTGTTTGAATGTAAAATGACGTATAAGGACATGGGTGTATATATAATATTTGAGTAATGCTAATAGTAATAATGTTAAAACTATAAATTATTTGCAAAATAAATTATTTAAGAAAAACAATATTTTATTTAAAATTTTAAAAGAATAAATTAAATTTTAAATACAAGCATAATAAATCTTAACCAATAAATCTTTTAAAATGAAGTAAGATGACTCTGTATTGCAAAAAAACATCAATAGTGTCAATTAGGAAAAAGAATAATCATGCATCTCAAACAGTTCATTAATACTAATAAAAAGTAAAACCACGTCTCAAACATTTTACATACTTAGTTTATCTTAAAATAAAGTAATGATGGTAAGAAGTATTTATGAATGCGTCTAGCTTTCATTAAGCTAGAAGTTATATTATTACGGATAACTCTCATTTCTTGACTTCGAATGTTTGCATTATCTTGTGTACACCCCCTTCAACATCTTCAAATACATTCGGAGGTATGAATTCAGGATCCTCATCAATAAATTTAAAGTCTGGATCTACTATTGTGCTTCTCCTGATTTAGTTGTGCAATGCAAAACATGAACAAATTATCTTGTTTTGATCCATTAGTGAATATCTTGGCATTTTTTTGCAATATCTTCCATCTAGCTTTAAGAACACCAAAAGCTCTCTCGATACAACTTCTTAAAGAGGAATGTGCTCTATTAAAAATCTCTTGAACTCCTCTCGGATTTGCACCACGGAACTCTGACTGATGGTACCTCGTCTTGGGGTAGGGAGTTAAATATCCATCTCTTTCAGGATAACCTTTATCCACCAAATAATACTTTCCTACAATTATAACAACTGCACCATTTTTTCCTTTACATTTTTCAACATGCTTAATACAAAGATCACAAAGGACGTGAAGTGAGTTTTTTGACCAAATAACTCGACCCGCTTTGTTTTCAGTTGTATTTTCATGTTCACCGCTTTGAGAATCATCTATGCTTTTCTTTCGTAGAGGAGCCATCTAAAACTCAAAATAACAAAGTATATATATGTAAAAACAAAAATTATAACTGAAAGAAAAAAAGTATTGCTACCAATGTATATATCATAGAACCAATTAAGTTTAAGACAAATATGCATTCATATATCACGGAATAAATTAAGTATAATTGTTTAAGACAGCTCATAGAGTATTTCCATTAAGTTTAATGTTGAATTATGTAACTTGCAGAGTTACAAAACCCATTAGTTAGGATTTAGGAATCCTACGAACTATAGTTTATTAAATGAATACTAAAAGTCTAGAATGTCATAGTTCAATGTGTAACCAATTGAAAGAAGAAGCTAACCACTTAGGAATCCTACTAACTCTAGTTACTGCATATGTTCTAAGTTTATCCCATAACTTAGAATCAGATAAGCGAAGATATGTAAACTCAGATATGTAAACTCTAGGAAACCTAGAGGTTTTTTTATTTTATTTTTCGTCCCAAGTTAATTTTTTAGGAAATTTATTTGTTCTTGGTGTATAATGATGATGAAATTTAAGGAAATCCATTTCCACTTAATGCAATGGATACTTCATACGTTGGTTATGAATGTAACTCTTTATTTGAAATTAAATGGAACATTATGCTTTGAATTTACATGATTCCATATGCTTCATCTTCGTCTCTATTGGTTTCTACAAATGCAATAGAGAGTTTTGGATTTGGCTTTGTTTTGGCTGACCATATTTTTATTGCTTTTTAGTTCGATGGTTTAACTAATGTGTCTACTTCATTTAATGTTCATAATCTCATATAATAACCAATTTAAAAGAAAATGGGTTGTACTGAGTAGAAAGACTAGTTGGACTAGTTGCTGGTGTATCGGTTATGAGTTTTCTTCATATCTGATATGGGTCTCTGAGTTTACATAATCCACTCTGCAGTTCTAAGTAGAATTAATCCTCGTGAACACCTAGGAAACCTAGATAGACATATTTAAAAGTGGAGAAGATAAAGACACAGATAAGTGAAGACTGTTACATTAGGAAAGGGAAATCAAAGGATAACGTTTTGAGATGATGTCTCTTATTAGAAGGTAAATGCTAATAAAATGACATTAACGTATAGTAGTTGGATCCCATATTTAAAAATAAATTGCAGCTTTCCATTGTGAACATTCATCAAATGATAAACATTTATCAAATCTTGAAAATACAATTGCAATGTAAAATAAATACTCTTAATACTTGAAAGAAAAAACTCACAAACAGCCCTGTGAGTATAAAAGTGCAGCACATGCAACCAAACAACAAACTAATTCCTCACAAGCATTTTAACAAACACCTTTTGGACAAGTAGGAAATCAGAAACATATAATGAAATCCATAAGCACCAAGCTGCCCAATATTCACAACAATATACATTTGCAAAGTTAGCTCACTCAAACATCAATACCCAACAAAAATCACCAACATATCAAGCTTAAAAATCATAATCAATTCACAATACACAATTTAAAAAAGATTTATTTTGTTCAAATAAAGTTTGAATATATATGAGTAGACCTCACACATATACAACCTGCCACAAAAGTAAAGAAAAAAACAGAGAGGGGGAAGGTCGACAAGGTGAACGGCCGTAGATCAGTCGCAGTAGAATTAATAACATTGCCGGAGAAGAAGCAAAAATGGAAAATACAAAGTAATGGAATAAAATTAGAAGAGGAAAAATCAAGAAAGAAGTAAAGTACCTTTGATTGTAGTTGGCAGGGAAGAAGAACGATGGCTGAGGAAAAAATGGAGATGTCGATGTTCTAAAGTCGTTATCAGTACGAGGGTATGAAGGGGAAAATAAATCGGATAAGCCGAAATATGACCTAAAACGCTGCCCAAGCCAGCTTTTCAAAAATCGGATTCTTTGTCTGGATAAGCCGAATGAATAAGCTGATTACCAAACAAGATTTTTGACATTTTAATCCAGTCAAACAGATTTTTTGAGTCAAACAAGCTAAAAAACAGCTTATAAGCTGTTTACCAAACAACCCCTTTGAATAATTGATTTCAAGGAACAAAATAATACGGAATATGTTGACGAATTAATAATGATGCACCGACTCTTTGGAATTAAAGCGCTGAATAGTGAATACGTAGGACATAATAATGGTAATGTTGAAGGAAATGTCGTGTGTTATCGTATATATAGAATATGTCATAGGATCATTCTATGTAAACTATGTATTATGGGCCTATTGGCCCGTCTCTGTAAACTCTAATACTTCCCTATTTATAGGATCTTTGATAATGAAACCATACGAACAATTCTCCCTATAACACGTTGTCGTATTCCTCTTTCGCCGTTGGTGGCACTAACAGCCGGTGCTACTTAGAAACTAGATTGTGTTGTCTCAATCTACTTAGAAATCTAGATTGTGTTGGCACTAAAGTAAAATATGTCTCAACGAGTTTATGATTGTGTTGTCACATGCCGATCAATAACATATGTATTTTTATTGTGTATAGTGTGTCACACAAAGAATTCCACTTGGATAAAGAAACTTCCAAGAAATATCTATGGTGATATGAATATTGGATAAAAATCCATTCGCTATACTCCCATTGGCCGGAAGTGACAAAGAATCTTTGAAGAACAAGAGATTCACGGCACAAAAGCCTAAATATAATAAATTGTGCTTTATTATTGTCCCATGTCCACTATGTTGAGAATAAGAACCTTCTCTATTTGTTGGACTTATCCATTTTATGAGTTTTAGAATTATGAACTTTGCTACCTCTAATTAAACTTTTATTAATGTCTTAAAGTTTAGTATGAATAATATTTACTCATACGAGAATTTAAATTGATTATCTTACTAATTTATCTCAAGTTATAATTTGAGCGAGTTGTGATCTTAATTAAATGGATCCTTATGTGCTTGTTAAAACAAATGTGTACGAAGAAACACATACATGTAATAATGGAATGATATGTACCTCATTCTGCTTCAGATAATAGCACTCTAAAGTATGTGAGTGACATTTGAAATTATTACAACCTCTAATAAATAAGTGCTTAAACCAATTGTGGCCATACACGATAAACTAAGAAATGCACATTTGTCGATTGATTTTTTTATTCATTTATGATCGATAAAGGCAATGAATTGTCTCTATATTTCATATCTAAATGAATATGTTTTTTTTGGCCTCGAACTGCATCTAGAAGTTGCCAAAATTTGTCCATCACAATGGTGTTCAAATGGAATATTTCAAGTCTTGTGACTGAACTCTTGTCAAAGTAACAAGAATTGCCCCCTATACACATATGTGAGACTTCTCTGAACTTTCACATTGCTTGGACATCAATACCCATTGGGCTACTCTCAATGGGTATTCACATAGAAACTCGTTATAAAAATGGGTATTCACATAGAAACTCATTTAACATATAATAAATATAAAAGAAAATGCATATTTCATAAATTTATGAGTCAAAATGGGCATTGACTCATACAAATTTTAAAATAACTGACGCATCATTAATTATGCGAATAAATGATAAAAGGGATCCAACACAAGGTAAGTTGTTGGTTTTAGCATTGCTTAATAACAAATCAATATACATCTTCTGAAGTACGAGAAGAAATATTTACTCTCCATTATGCCTTACAAATATTTTAGAAGGTATGTAAGTTATTTTTTAAAGTTTACTCCGTAGCAATAATAGAATCGAGACTTGTCTATGCTAAGGATATAAAAATAAAGATGTCTCATTTTTCAATACAATGTGACACGTGAGAACTTATCTACCAAAATGCGGGCCATGTAAGTAATTATGGTTTGGTAGAAATCTCTTGATGGTATCTATTTTCTTGATACATAAAATGTTGCATTTGCAATGATTCTAGCAAAATTTATTCATTTAAGGGCTCACCACCCGACCAATCAAGTCTATGTGACTTGTTATTGCTAGACGTTTCTCATCACAAGGAAACTTGATGAGTATTTGCATATTTGTCGAGATCAATGACAATCATCTTGCATCCCATGTAAAAATTAAGTCTCACTAAAACTCACATCTAAAAGAATATAGATGATGAATATTATATCTACTATGCGTACACGTATATATAATTATTTTCATGGGATTATGCAATATTGCAAGCACCCTTACACATTTGTTTTTTTAGACCGATAGTAGACAACCATTTTTGTATATAGCAGTTGGTGACTGGATCTTAGCTTGAGATGTTCTACTTATACATATATGGTTGTTAACTAATTGTGCCTAATGCACCTCCCACAGCGCACTATAATTGGTTTTAAAAGACAAATGATGTTTATGTTGGATATGAACCTCCAATAATAATCCGCTACAAGCCTTAACAGATAACGTGTACACCGCTCTGCGGAATACCACTTTGATGAGATAATTGATTTTCCTGTCATTAGGGAAAGATTAGAGAAAGAACTCTCTAATTGAATGACGGAATCATTATGATGGTACATCATTACTTTGTCTCAATGATAAATCTTATACTTCAAAATGTAACATTGAAGTTTAAGTAAATGATTTAAGTAATCAGATTATACACACTTGTTGCAAACATATTTATAAGGCTTGAATTTAAATTAACAATGCTAAAGGAAGAAGCATTGCAATCACAAGCAGTGGGGTTGTGATTGAGGCCGTGACTCTCTAAAGGAATAGAGGGAAGCCACATGGTTCGATTAATTATCCACCCCAAATATTAGAGGGTAGATAAGGCACAAACCAATATATTCGTCATCATATGAATTCCTCTCACAAGATTATCTCTGACTAAATATGTCCATGAATCAATAATGGGGGACGCCCCGAAGTTCAAATGATTCCAGAGAATTAAAATCTCAATGTTAATGAGAGTGTGTATGAGTCGACCATACACTTATATTGTTTATATATTTCTACGATTGCTCAAAGGAATTTAGAGCACGATGATATCGAACCATACTCTATTGCAATACGAAAGCAATGAGAATATTGGCCTAAATGCGTATAAGTAATCCAGTTATAATTTTAATATTTGACAAAGAGACAGGTATTTGGTGTGATAGTGCTAATCAACCAAGTGTAAAGCCTGTAGGACATAATATAATTCTTTGTTAGAAAACGTATTGAGATAATGAGGTCCTAATTATTCTCACTACACACTGGATTCAACTATGAAAAGTTACACTTCTCTATTTTGAACACAAAAATGTTCAACTACTTAATCTCTAAGTAGCCTCCAAAGTAATGGAGACGCAGCTAAAGATTGGGGAGACAAAAATAAATGTCTCAATCTTATTTAAGAGCAGTTGTTATGTTTTTATGAAGAAAATATCACAGAAAAGGGATGCAAATTAAATATATTATGCCTTGCGCATTTATAATGGAAATAAGTTTTGTTTCCAAATATCTCTATATCTACATGATATAGACATAATTGAGATAAAACACCGAGTTGGTTGAATATTAATTCACCAGTTACATATATCCAAAAGAGTTCTCAGGAAAATTAACATGGATAAATGTAAATTGTTAGCACTCCCATGATCGGTCGAAATATGGATACTTGAAAAGATCCACTATGTTGGGAGAATGAATTCCCTATGTAAGTGCAATATGCGCGTGATTGTACTTTGACAAACACATTCAATCAAATATTACATTCTCAATAATGTGTTAGCTAAAAGTAGCTCAGGACCAACACACCGTATGATCGTCATTGGAATGGTACGAAGAATGTTCTTCAATATCTATATGAAACGATTGATGTAATCTTTAATCATCCCTTATACATTGAATTGAATGATTGATGATAACAATATTTCTAAAGGAATTTAAAATATCAAAAGTATTACTCTATCACAAAGTAATGTGATTTGAGTTTTATCGATGATGGCATCCCCTTACCTCATTGGTATTTTGCTAATGAGTATATATTTATCATGCAAGTAACCATGATGTTATATATATAATACCTTGATATTAGTATATATCAAGTATTGATGTGTTTTCACTCAGGGGGGAGTACCTTACATACTTATTTATCATCAAGTATATCGGTGCGTTGTATTTTTTTTTCTCTTTTGACCAAGGTTTATTTTTTCCCATTGGGTTTTGTTACTTGGTAAAAAAAAAATTGAGCCAACACAATACGCACCATCCCACACTTTAATTTTGCAAAGGTAAAACTATGTTGAAGGAAGAACATAATTAATATATCGCAGTCAAAAGTAATTGACGTGAGCTTATTAGTGCATCATATTTTTTCTTTTTCCGATGTTTATTTATCCCATTGGGTTTTGTTCATTGGCAACAGGTTTAACAAGTTAATAACTTTTACATTAATCACCTTACACTCGGCACACAGGGGGAGAATTAAAGGAATTATATTCCTCTATTTGTGTGCTTCGCTAAGGTAAGTAATGTGACAAGTATTGGAATGCATGAACTTTCCAAACATCCTTGATTAGTGTAACTATTAAGGATATGTGTAGACTTGAGGGGGAGTTCCCCATCTACATTACGTTACACTCTTTTCCTTTAACCAAGTTTTATTTTTCCCATCGGGTTTTGTTACTTGGTAAGGTTTTTAATGAGGTAACAATACATATACGCTTTATTAATCAAAGCAAGGATCAAATAAAGATAGACTTAATGGAAGAAGTCTATAGTGATGCTATACTCTTTTTCTCCAGTCAAGGTTATTTTTTCCCACAGGGTTTTTGTTACTTGACAGAGATTTAGACGAGACAACAAGACAGATACCAAA